CCATGTATAAATAAAACGTGTTATTCAGCAACCCTTGCAATTTGCGATTTTATTTTTGGTTGGTAGACCTCGGTGAGCTGGTCATTTCAAAAGTAGCTCACCAGCCAAAAACGTGTGAGCACCCCTGATTTAGATGAATAAAAAAACTGACATACAGTAATAGCATGAAAATAAAACACAATAAAATTGTAACCGTAAAGCTGTTAAAATGCAATATCATCTGACTGCAGAACAAATATTCAATCCAATATATTAGTTCCCATTCGAAATGTATTCTCCTATTTTTACTTTTAGAAATGATTTGTTATTGTCTCAGTCCAACAGTAGATGACTAATACTCACTTTGTTCCTCTTTTTGCCACGCCTTCTCTCCCTCAGGTGTCGAAGAACTTCAGTGAGGTTTTCCTGAAGCTGGTGCCCGGAGGCAAAGCCACGCTGGTGATGAAGAAGGGCGACGCAGAAGGCAGCCAGTCTCAGGACGAGGGTGAGGGCGGGGGAGACAGTGAGAAGGGCTCGGGCTCCCAGAGCAGCGTTCCTTCAGTGGACCAGTTCACCGGAGTGGGCATCAGGGTAACTCTTTCTGTTATATGTTGTATACTTTGTCTGAATTTTTTCCCCGTTATTTTATGAAAAGTGATGAATATCAAAGGCTTTTATGACGATAACAATTTTTTTAAACTCACTATATGGAGTGTTTTTTAGTTTTATTACTTAAAGCCAGTGGTAACGTATTGTAAATTGATAAGAAGATGCAGAAAGTTGAGCATTTCTTGAGTTACTTATATTTGAAAGGACCCACATTCAAACTGAGTTAGGGCCAGCAGTGCAAGGATCTCACTGTACCCGTAGTGTATGAGGGTTTCCTTGACTTTTTGTCTTGGGAAAAAGGAATGTGCATTTCTACCAGGGACCAACCTGAAATCACTCACGTAATGATTAATAGCCAATTATTTTCACCCTAAATCCATCTGCATAACCCCGCATAAGCATTCCTACCATCTGTCAGATTGTGTGTCTTATCAGAGAATTTAAGAATAAGGAGAAGATTAAGTGAAATGATCAAGTCTCTGCTTTTTCCTATTCTGGTCTAAAACATACCCCCCCTCCCCCGCCCGTTGCAGGTGTCGTTCACAGGGAAGCAGGGCGAGATGAGAGAGATGCAGCAGCTGTCTGGAGGTCAGAAGTCTCTGGTGGCTCTGGCCCTGATCTTTGCCATCCAGAAGTGCGACCCTGCGCCCTTCTACCTGTTCGATGAGATCGACCAGGCCCTCGACGCCCAGCACAGGAAGGCTGTCTCAGGTAACGCGGAAGTATACAAATATGGAGAGAGGGAATTAAGTAAATCTCTTACATGTAGTTAATCCCGTCAAACCGCTGACGGCGATGTAAACATGTGCTGAAGAGGGGGCAAAACCAGCTGAAACATCAGAGCTTAAAGCCTTGTTTGCCTCCTCTATAAATATTTTGTTTTGAGAACAAGTTGTTCCGCCTCAGCTGCGTAAGCAACAGAGAGGGTGGGATGTGTATCTGTGTTGCACTGTTCTAGGTGGTGTGACTGGAAATGCATTGAACATGCTGTCCCATATGTCATGGTCTCAAACAGATCAGGCAATCATCACTCCCGTACTGTATTTTTTTTTTAAATGTGTTTTTTTATGTTTTTAAAGCTGTAACTTGCCTTTTGAAAATATCTTTGTTCAGTTTTTGATATGCTCCTTATTGCTATGCCAAAGATATTTTACCAGTATGCTACCTTAGTCCCCGGCAAATGTGACCTTTGCGCTAGTTTTGACTTTGTAGGATAAATGAATCCCTATGCATTTCTGTCCACTGTATCAAATTCACACCTAACAGTAACTTCGGTGGCTTGTTGTCATAGTATCCGACCCATGTCAATTTGAAATGCATGGGTTCAGATTTGGTGATGTTGTATAGGATACATATTCTTAATTTAAAAGATAGTTTTTTAACTGATGATCACAACAGATTATCATTGTTTCCCATTCTTTGTGTGAAAGCCTTGTAAGAAAGTCCTCATCCCTCTTTTCTCTTTGTGATTGCACGTCTGTTTCAGACATGATCGTGGAGCTGGCCGGCCACGCCCAGTTCATCACAACCACCTTCAGGCCCGAGCTGCTAGAGTCCGCTGACAAGTTCTACGGAGTCAAATTCAGAAACAAGGTGAGTCCACAAGAAAGAAATCCGGTTGTTGTTATCTTATCTGAAGAGGTTATAACATGCTGTAATATGTTTCTTTTTTTTAACCAAATAGTCAGTCACTCAAATTAAACTTTATTTACATACAGATTTTACAATGCATCCAAAGTATATTTCCTGTAAATGTAGGTTGCAACGTTCTGTTGATTAACAACTTCTCTGTAGGCGAGGGTGGTTTTCTGCTTAGCTCCCTTATTGAAAAGGAAAAATGTCCTCTTGAATTTCTGTTTGAAAACATAAAATATCACTGCTTAGTCAGAGTTGCTAAAGTGGAGGTCTTGTTTGGTCATTAACTGTGTGTGTGTGTGTGTGTGTGTGTGTGTGTGTGTGTGTGTGTGTGTGTGTGTGTTTTTAGGTGAGTCACATCGATGTGATCACAGCGGAGCAGGCCAAAGACTTTGTGGAGGATGACACCACCCATGGTTAAAAGCCTCAACTCTTCATCCTCCTCCTCCGCCTCTACAGTGCACTGTGAAGCTTGAAGCCTTCCACAACAGAAATATCTTGCTCTATACACCAGCCTCTTTTTGGCTTTCTGTTAAAGACAAACAATGCAGCAAGTGTTATGCTTCTCTGACCATCCACCAAGACTGCAATAGGATTGGACATTTTTTGATAACATACGGAATACCCCAGTTTCTTTTTTTATTCCAGGCTGATAAAACTACACATTTGATTAAAAAAAAAAAGCATGCAGGGGCCACTGTTTTGTCCCATTCCCTGCATTGATGTGCCTCTCGTTTAACAACCACACTCTATCTGACAACTGACAAAACTGTAGTTGTTTAACACTGAATCATTTTGTCTAAAGAGGTCCTTAAGAAAATGTTCTGGCCAAAAAAGTATTGAGCCGAGTTTTGGTAATCTGTTATTTGCAATGCCAGAGGCCCTCTAAAATGTCTTCATGACCTTTTCAGACAGCAAATAGTCTTCTGTACAGTTCTTTTTTTATATATACGACTTAGATGACGATTGTTAAAAGTGGAGATTGGAGGGTCTCGTAGTTCTCAGCTTTAGTTGTCACCCCGTTCACTCTGAGGTTTCTGTAATGTATACTCTTTATACTCCTGAAACAATGCTAACCTTTATTTGTCATAACCAGCCACACAGCTTCAAGTGTTCAAAGGTTGTGGTTCTTTTTATGGTTGTTTCTGTAATGTGTTATTTCCTGTTTTTAGGTAATTTAAGTATATTAGTTCCAAACCACAGATATCCATTGTTGAATCAAACGCAACTCCACAGTCGACTATTCAAAAGCAGAAGATATTCAGCGATGGTTCCATTTCTATTTGGGTCCTGAAATAACTTCAGTAGTAGTTTTGCTTTTCTGGAATGCCAAGTTGTAATGTATCATTTCATTTCCTTACTGGATGAATTGTTTGGGATTAAACTCCTCATATGTTGCACCTAGTTTCAAATCTACTTTTTAGATGTTTTGGTTCATTTATATGTAATGAGAAAACTTACAAAAATAATAAAATATTTTTTAAATAAAACGATGTCATGTTTAATAAGGCCACTAAGAGGTGCTGTAACACTGTTAGTTGACCTCACATTGACCAATACATATTTATACAGTGAGTTAGAACAGGGATTTTAAAGAAATGTATCATGCATTGTTCAAGGGGATTTTACAGAATTGTTTATTTTAATATTAATCTAAGATGGTGTTGCTGATAGTAAGTTTTGAAAATGGACACAAATATTAATAGATCCTATATAGGATCGAAGCCCGAGGACAAAACACCAAATAACATGTTAAATAGAAACCTAACCTTATTGTCTTCATACCCCATAACAAACCTACCTGGACATTATAACATACAGTATATCTCACGGAAATTAAAACATAATAAAAATAGGATATTTTAAACAGCTATTCAAACCCTTACCCCGCTAATCTATCTGTCTACAAGTCTCATTTTCTTAAAAGCAAATAAACAAAACGCAACACCAACCTTACGGTCATCATGGTCTACTCTACATTACTACGTTTGAAAACTAGAACTATATGTAATATGCTTTGTGTATTTTTTGTTGTCTGAATTGTATTGTATTCTGTTTCAAAGCTCTCTCTAGCATAGACTGTATATATAAAGCTCTCTAGCCATGAAGAGTCGTATGGTATTAGTTTTGTGTCATCAAGATAAAGCAACACTTTCTCAGTATGAAAGCGGCACCCCTGCGGCACGCGCGCGGAATTCTCGCGGTAGGCGCGCAGCAGTTCTTATTTTTTGTACTTAGATTTTGTTGTCTGACCTAAATCTAATGTTTGTTGGCTTTTTATTGATTTATCTTTAAAAGAAATACACGGACAGGCAGCTATACATCTATTTCAGGGGTGGGGAACCTCCGGCCTCCGGGCCGTATACGGCCCGCGAAACCATTTGGTACGGCCCTCGGGGTAATTTATAAACACTCAAAAAAGAAAAAAATTCAAGAAATCTAGACCGCAAAATAATTAAACAAGCTTGTTTTTCCTGGCCACGGTCAGGGTCCTTGAACACAACACGAGCCTAACGTGTCATCACGTGGTATATGTCTCGTCTGACTGGAGTGTAGTTCTAACGGAGAGCACCAGAACGCGGCTCCGGGCCGGGACTTCACAAATGGCAATACCCATAAGGAGCTGTACACATGCCGCAGTTTTTGCGTGGCTGTGTCAGCTGTGGGTAGGGTGTTCCACATTGTTGTGGCATAATTACGAAACGTGTTTCGTCCCTTGTTTGAGCCAAATTTGGGTTTAACATGATTTGTGGAGCTCCCTCTGGTGTTGTGGTCGTGGTATTCACTGACCTTTGGGAAGTATTTTGACATGTACATGGGTACCTTAGTGGTGTAGTGTATCTTGTAGACCAGGCCCATTGCAAGTTGCTGTACTCTGTCGTCTACTCTAAGCCATCCTAGGTTGTCAAAGTGGGCAGGGGTGAGGTGGTTTCTAGCAGTAAGGTCAAGCAGTAGTCTGACCAGTTTATTTTGTGATGTTTGTAATTTTGTTTTTAGCGCCTTTGAGGTGCTTTGGTACCATGAGGTGCAAGCATAGTCGTAGTACCCTTGAATGAGCGCTCCTGCCAGAGTCTTCATGGTATTCTTGTTTACCAGAGAGGAGATCCGGTACAAGAATCTAGTTCGTTGGTTGACATTTTTGATTACATTGGATGCCATTCTGTCACAGGAGAGATTTGCCTCTAGTATGGAACCTAGGTATGTAATTTCATCTTTCCTTGTGACAATATTGTCACCCACTGTAACTGAGAAGCCGTCGGTCTTGCTGAGTTTGTTTTTTGAACCGAAGAGAATGGACTCTGTTTTACCCAGGTGTAATGATAGTTTGTTATCGGCGAGCCAGCTGCAGATTCTGCCGAGTTCCGAGCTGAGGGTTTTTTCA